AACGCTCAGCTCTTTCGCCGATGACACTGCCGTGTACAGTCTGATCAGACCAAACGACAACCTCCAGGAGAAGGCAGCATCCTTACAGACAACCCTCAGCAATCTTGCCGCATGGGGCCAGCAATGGCGGATCCAGTTCGAGCCCACCAAGAGCTAGCGCCTGATTTTGTGCAATGCTCGAAAGCGCCCTGATTTTCCACAAAAACCATCTTTGCCGGCGAGATTATTCCGGACTCGGACCACCTAAAGCTGCTTGGCGTCACATCGACTCTAAGTTTGGGTTCCAGCGCCATATTCATGCTGTCACTGTCAAGGCCAGCCAGCGCCTGAGATTCTTGCGCCGTGCTGCTTGGCTTTTTGATCATGAGGGCCGCCTTGCCGTGTATAAGGGGTTCAGTCGGCTCATCCTGGAGTACGCTCCCCTAGCCACCATGTGTGCAGCCCAATCCCACCTAGCACGCTATGACAGGGTGCAGGAGAAGGCAATGCGAATCATTGGACCTGGCACGATCCTTCAGAGCCTGCAGCTCAGGAGGGCAGTCTCAGGGCTTGCGTATGTGTACAAGTTGCACTACATTAAGCGTCCACCCCAGCTGACAGCCCTCCTCCCGCCACCGTTGCCGCCTGCACCTACACCTAGAACCCGCCGACAACTAGCTTCTCGCCACCCTTTCCAGTTGCAATGGCCACTTGCTCAGACAGCACCGAACTACCTACTGAGGTCATTCCTCTACACCCTCATTGCGGCATGGAACGACATTCCTGAGCAAGTCATCCCGGAACCTCCGGCATCGAAGGGAATGCAGGCCTTCAAGTCTCGCATTTGTCAGCACCTGATGCGCCAGGATTGGTTGTGGGCGACAGCATTCCACGGCTAAATTTGACGATGTTTCATTCTCCGGTCCCACAACGATCACCTTGTCTTCACCCCACTGAACTGTACCTTGCTCCGTAGAGCTCTCGAATCACCTCAGTGCAGAATGTTTTGCGTTAATGTTTATTTCTTCTCTTCTTTCCTTTTTTTCTGCTTTTCGTGGCCCCTTTCTAGCTGATCCAGTGCCTGCACACTACTCTGCCTGGAAGCAGCTCCGATCTAACTTCTCCGTATTGCCCCCCCCCCCCCCCACACACTGAAAGCAACGCAGCTGTTGGTCCATTGCCATAGTTTCCTGAACTAATCTGGCACTCACTCACCCGCCCCCCCCCTCTCTTCCTCTCTCTCTCTCCATCATTGTATGGCTCTCAGGTTCTCACTCTTCACACACAGTCTTTCTTCTCTCCCTTTCCCCCATGGTGCGTGATGTGCGCCTTGATCCCGAGACCATTGGTCGGGGGAGCGCACTTCACCTCACCCGCACAGCTCAATAGCACCTACACGCCCTTTGTAGTCTATGTTCTCTTGATGTTGTTGTTTTTATCTTCCATTCTATGATCTATGTAGGCATATGTTCACTTTCATAAAAAATATAAAATAATATATATAATAAAATAAAAAAGAACTTTTACATACATATGATTTGTCCTGATTTTAGGTATGCTGCATCTGCAGCTAGGCGAGGTGTGAACTCTCTGATCAAGTTCAAAAAGGATATACTTCCTGATCGCATCGCGTCACAGGCGTTTCTGCAGACGAATTGCGTCACAAGCTGCTAGCCCTCCAGAGCATAGATTTGTATGCTACAGTGAAGCCTTGTTTTCCGTGCTTGCTATTGCAGTGACTTTCTCTGGTATTCCGTCCAGTGGCCACGTACCCGCAGGAGTCTAGCCGGCTCGCTCCCACATAGCCTATTGAAGACAAGCCCGCACCCGCAGGTGGAAAGTGCCCCGAATGTGATCCCAGTCCTCACACCAAGAGTCCAAGTCCTGCCCAGAAATGTACATACAATGTTTGCCAAGGTGTCTTACATTTGCAGGCCATGTGCCCACTCAAAGGCAAGTCCGCAGCACCCGGCAAAGTCGGCAATTTGAAGTTGAGAAGTGCCTCAGTTTGACATGGTTTGAACTAGGGCTGAGTCGGGTGGCATTTTCTTCCGGTAACGGGTCCGGGTAGTTTTCCACGGGTAGTACGGGTACCCGATCGGGTAATGTTTCCATGGTTAGACCACAATGCACACCGGCCCCTTCCCTTGCGCACTGTGTAGACATGCGTGAATTATTTGTACACGTGCACTGTACATGATGTAATCTGCGACCTCGGGTTTTCGGGTACTATTCGGTACCCGACTACCCGAGGTCCTCAAGGGTAGCACAGGTACCCGACTACCCGTGCACACCACTAGACTATTTTGAACCCATTGTACACACGCAAGTGAACGCGAAACCGACCACTGAAGGCATGTCATGGATTTCGAAGACCTGCAATGATGTTGGCGCCATCGATCAAGCACATCTTTATTATTATTATTGTTTGAAAGTAGGACGGAGGCAGAACATATTACAAAAAATGTATTATCTACGCATGCATCTACGCAAGAGTCACCACCAGCCAATTAGGACATGTGTCAAAGTATTGAACGTTTTCGTTCCCTTCTTGTCAAAATACTACTACTACTACATACTATTTCCATCATTCCCTGTAGTATTTTGACAAGAAGGGAACGAAAACGTTCAATACTTTGACACATGTCCTAATTGGCTGGTGGTGACTCTTGCGTAGATGCATGCATAGATAATACATTTTTTTGTATTATTATTGTTAATATTATTACTATTCTTGCATGATCATCTCGTGGCAAGCAATTCCAATATTGGATGAGAGAGGGCTGATAGCCAACCACGGCCAAATCAACAAAAGAAAAGTAGAAGCCATACATGAAAAAGAAAGAAAGAAGATAACTCATGAGATACGAATAACACAGTGGCCCAGAACAAGTGAATACCTAGCGAAGTAAAGTAGCAACAGTGGAAAGTCTTTGGCAAGTCTTGCGGTCCTGTGACAGGAACGACTAATGTGTATATGCCAAAAATTGAGGGGGCTTCAGAAGAGTGGCAGTGCGAGAGATAGGGAAGCAGGGAGAGTTTCGGGTGGCTGAGGACTGATGAAACCAGTTAAGCTGGGATAAAACATGAGGTGAGGCAAGACCAAGACGAATTTTATGAATTAGTTTACATGATGAAAGTCTGAGCCTGTTAGAGAGAGGGCAGCTGGATGCGATTGCATAGACAGTATTAGAGTGCGTCAAACGTGGAATAGCAAAGACAGCGCGAATTAAGCGAGGATGTGTAACTTCCAGACGATTCGTGAGCGACGTGCTGATGCTAGCCGAAATGGAGGAACAGTAGTCAAATACAGGCAGAACATAGCATTTATGCAGCATTAAACGGCAATCACGGGGGAAATGAGATAAGCGAGAGGAGAGGAAGCCAACAATTGAACTTGCACGTTTCTCCAGGTACGTAATGTGGGGATCAATGGACAGATGTTGATCCAGGATAATCCCAAGGTGTTTGTGCTGATCGACTATTGAGAGACACGTAAGGTCATCAGGGAACGTGGGAGGCGAGGGACTTAATACGGACAAGTGACGATTGAGACGAGGAGGAAAGCAGAAAATAGCGGTTTCAGATGCGTTTGGCTTCAGCTTCCAGAGCGTCATCCAATTGACAACTTTGTTGATGTGGGTCAGCAATGTGACAGATGTAGCTGAAAGTGAAGAGGAGGAAACATGCAATGCTGTATCATCTGCGTAGAGGTAGGTATGTGGAAGAGAGGCCAGATCGTTTACATAAATGATGAAAAGCAGAGAACCTAATATAGAACCTTGCGTACACCAGACTCTACTGTGGCTGGGCGAGTTAGATGTCCCCTGACACGAACACACCAATCAAGTAGCTAGTGAGCCAATTGTAAAAGTTCACAGAAAGCCCGAATAATCTTAGCTTACAGAGTAGACCTCTAGTCCATACCGAGTCGAAGGTCTGGCTAAGGTCAAAGAAGCAGAGTAAGCTAAATTGTCGAGTGTCCTTGGATTGATTTAAGGCCTGTACCAAACGCAACAGCTGCCAAGACGTGGAGTCCCCACGACGTAAACCGGACTGGGAAAGGCTGAGGAGAGGGTTCACATGAGTATAGACATAATCAAAGACTACACGTTCTCAAAGTTTGGATATAGTTGATAAAAGAGAAATAGGCCGGTAGTTGGTTGCACTTAAGCGCGAGCCCTTGTTCTTATAATTATGGGTGTGACTATTGAGTGCTTCCAAAGGGAGAGAAATACGCTGGTGGAAAATGTAATGTTGAAAAGGAGACTAAGGGGGTACGCGATTGTTGGAGAAAGAAGTCGAAGAAGCTCATGACTGGTGCCATCAACGCCCGTGGCCTTCTTCAGCTTTAATTGAGTAATATGATTCTTGATGCGGGACGGGGTTGTGAAAACAGAGGTGAGTGGAGGTATGTGGTGTTGTAGAAAGTCAGGCATAGACCAAGAAGGATCATCTTTGGTCCCGAAGTTTACGAACTGCGTATTTAGCGCATCAGCAATGGCAACCGGATCCGTATGAACAGTATTCCCCTCACAGAGCTGGGCTACGCCATTACCATCCGAAGAGGCTGTAGTACCTGATGGTGCTTAACGGACAAACGGAAAAAGGTTGGGTGCTGGAAGCTTGCTGTGGGCTGAGCTGAGGGACGTCAATGAGGAGATTAACTCACGATGGGCTATGCGAGACATATTCCGGGCCTTGTTTCGCTCAGATTTGTAATGGGTGAGGTTGTCAGGAGTGGGGTATTTCCTGTACAGGCTGTAGGATTCTCGCTTGTGCTTTAACTGAATTCTTGAAGTCCAAGAAGTTCTAAGGAGTCAAATATAAGTAGTCAAATATATTGTGTATTTGACTAAGCAGTCAAATACGCGATATATTTGACCGCTTAGGTATAAGGGAAATTAGTGGGGTCAAATACTAAGAAGGCGATACATATATATAGAGAGAGAAAGAGAGGAGGAAGAAGAAGAGAGAGATAATGGACTTGTTAGGTATGACGAATGTGTACAGCTGCTTACCTGTACTGAAATTCTTTGCATATCCAGTGTAACAATTACAGACGAAACCTCCTTTTTCAATATCTGTGCATGTTTGGCGTTTTGGATCACAAGGGGAATCTGAACAATTGAAAGCTAAAGAAGTATGTTGAAATACAAGAGCACACAATAATACACTGCATTGGTACAGACAAGTTACCGTGAGAGAGAATGTCTGACAAAACCATAAGTATAAGTTCAAGTTGGTCTCTCCAACTGCGCTTGCAAATTCCAGGTAGAATTCCTTTTGGGTGTAGATTGATTGCTCAAAACCCTTGAAAGTAGGAATCTTGAAACATGGCCCACTCGACGCAAGTCATCCAAAATTCCCAAGATCAATAGTAACGTGCTTCTCAGGAATCGCAACATGACTGTAGCCGGGGACCAAATTGGCGTTCATGCCTATACCACCACTCATCCCTTCACCCTCAGTACCTGCGTCCCTCCTATCATTGTCGACTGGTACAGCCCAAGTGAGGAAATATCTCCGTAATCTGAAAACTGGCAAGTCCCCTGGTCAAGACGGAATTACCAACGAAGTTTGGAGAGCTCTTGCTCCGTCTGTTGCCTATCCTGTGTCAATTATCTTAAATATGTAATTTCGCGAAGGGAAATTCCCAGCCATGTGGGAAACTGCGGTAGTCGTGGCCACCTACAAAAATAGAGGACCACGCACCACCCCCAGCAACTATCGCCCTATCTCATTGCTCTCTACTTTATCAAAAGTGTGCGAACGTGTTGTATATGACATCATTTAATGATCATGTTCGCATTTCACTTTCGCCAGCACAGTCGGGCCTTTGTCGGGGTGACTCCACCAGGTACCAGGTTACCCGCCTCGTGCAAGACATCCACACCCCCCGGAACGCCCATAACCATGTTGGTTTAGTTTTCTTCGATCTTGCAAAGGCCTTCGACACTGTTTGGCACAGGGGTCTCTTAGCTAAGCTGCGAACAGTATATCGCATTGATGGCAAGACTATCGGCTGGCTCTCATCGTATCTCTCTAACCGACATCAGCTTGTACGCCTCTCAACTGTGTTATCGGAGCCTTTACCCGTTACTTCTAGAGTCCCCCAGGGTTCAATCCTTGGGCCACCGCTATTTCTCCTGTGTATTAATGACCTCCCCGATATTGCCCCTGGTGTCAGCCTTTTCGCTGACGAAACAGCTCTGCTTTGCTCCAATGCTTGCCCTATAAGACTGCACGAAGCCATGCAAGATAGCATTAGCAAGGTTATAACCTGGATGCCACCAGCAGCAAAATGTTCAAATAGGTATTTGGATTTTAAATCTCAAGCCTTGCAGTATAATATTATCAGCGACATAGGTTTTCCAATGCTTACTGGATTGATATCTGTTCGTTGCAACCAACCTTCCGTCATTTTTTTCCTTTCTCTTTTTCTCTTGTATCTACTTTTTTTTTTTTTTTTTTTTTTTTTTTCTCCACAATATCCTTTAACATGTTATTCACAGTGGGTCCAATGTTATTAGGCATTTTGCCTGTTTTGATTTCCACTATAAATAAAGTATACAACAACAACAACATGATTGGAAGTTGCAGCCAAACGTTGATAAAACGGCAGCTATGTACATTTCCCCTTCTACACCTTCCCTGCCACTTTGTTTTCCTTCTTCAAGTGTTGCTATTCGTATTGATGAAGAGCATAAGCATCTTGGCGTTTTTATTGACTCTAAATTGTCGTGGTCACCCCATGTGCAGTATGTCTGCAAGCGCACAAGCTCCATCCTTGGGGCTCCTCAAGCCCACTGTAGACATCTTCCTCTTTCTTGCAAACGCTTGTTTTATCGTTGCTATATATTGCCCTTACTTGACTACTGTGATACTGCTTGGTCTGGCATAACTACTACTGTATTGAACAAGCTAGAAACCCATAACCGCATGCTCCTTAAAATCTTATTTAGCAAAGATCGTCGCTTTCCCTCCGCTAGTCTTTACGAAATTGCCAAGATCAGTCCCCTTTCCACTCGACAGAAGTACCACCTCTGTGTTCTCATACATAAAAAAATACTGAATAAAATACCCTTGCATAGGCAGGCTTATAATTGGTTCTCCGAAACACGGAATACCCGGAACTCATTCAGTCTCCCACGCGCTGCCTCCATCCTATTCACTAGATCCCCGATCTTCGCTGGCTATGTGTTTTGGGCAACATTACCAACGCAGGCCAAGACCAGCACGTCGATGGATAATTTTGTTGCTAAAATCTCTGCTCAATTATAGGTTTCATGTATATCCTGCTGGTTTGTCTCCTCCTTTGCCTTATTTGCCTTTTATTTGTATTCTTTTATCTGTTTTACTGCTGTGGTTGGCTTTCACCCTTGTCTCAGTTTTACTGGCCGTCCTCAGTATGTGCCATGAGATAATGATATAAATACAAATACAAAAATGCACATAACATTTTATGGTGTGAAACTCATTTTTTGCGGTTGACTTCGCATTGCAGCCGCTCCTGATGTTCCTGACGTGGAACTCTTTAATTGCTCTTTCAAACTGCAGCCAGAACCAGCGTCCCAATGGGTAGGATACAGCTAGATAGGAGCTCTATGCCACTCTGAAACTCATCCCGCGAGAAAGCCAGGTCTCTTCACCTCAGAGCCGCTGGACTTTTAGCTGCATTATCGCAGTAGATTGTAATTCAAGTACGCACAACAACCTCAAGAAGACAATGGTGCGGTCATTCTTGAATAGGAGGTGGCCAGCCATCATCAATACACTGACCTACAATCTAAGCTAGATGGACACTTTGAAGTGGTTAAGAAGACAATAATTTTGTCTGAAGCTGCCAGCAACCTGATGTATGCAACCTGTGCTCAATGGTTCTAGTCTACATTCTGTAGACAGGAGTAAACTCCTTGGTCACTATCACCCTCAAACTCAGCCAACTGTTTTGAAAACCTGTGATGTCAATGAAAAACATTATAACATATGGACTCACGTACGGCGGCAAGGCTCAGTACGGAGGGTTGTCCAGGTTCCTGGGAATTGACAGTTCATTGTTGACTGTATTGCACTTTGATCATTCCGGAAACCAGTCTTGCACTTTACAGTCAACGTTGTGTTCTCTGCAGAAATAGTATCTGTCGAATATATTCCATTCATTGGATTTGATGGCTGATTGAGTTTGTCTACAGATAAAAGCCAGGGAAAGGGAAAATGACTAACATCGGTGTTCGATCAATGTACATCAGTATGGGAAGAAATGGTTATTATAATCATTTTGCTTGTTCGCGTTGACATCATCAAGCAAGCTTGGCTAAGTAAGTAAGTAAATTATCGTATCCGTTCCCGAAGGGAACGAGCGAAGCCAATGAGGAGCACACACGCATTCCACTGCAGGATAGGCAAAAGGGAATAAGTAAGGATCATCCAGGCAAAACACACGAAATGTCAGCTATTTACTTCAACAGCGTTAAAATAATATATCTGGAAACGGGTTACTACAAAATGTCAACTATTTACTTCAATGAATAACACAGGAAAATGATAATACAGATATCATTACAGCTGACGGTACATACATGTAAATGCAGTGGCGAAATGACGAAATAGTAATAGAGTATACATGATAATAACTACAGCCGCGAACCGCGTATACGCGCGTAGTGGAAAGCTACACAAGATGGGTAACCCATTTTTAACATACATTAAGTATAGAACTCACTGATCAATCACGACCCCTGTGACCCCTGTGACCCCTGTGACTAGGAGAACAGTCACAAAGCCTTGAACACCAATAATAGAGATGACCAGGTGGTTGAGCAATAGAGAACAATGGGGAGAATATAGCAATAATAAAGAAGGCGAATGAATTCATGCGGCAGGTGGGAGCAGTAAGACACGAGGTAGCCAACAGCTTTATTGACATTGCTACAGATATAGTCGACATGCCTACTAAAGGATAAGTCTGAGTCAATGACCAAACCAAGATGCTTGTATTGATTTACAACTGTGAGGTCTGTGAGGGATCCGGGAAGAGTGAATGCAGGGGTTGGCTCTGAGTTCAGCAGGAATACTATCTCTGGCTTGGCGATATTATGTCTTAGCCTCCAGGTAGTCATCCACTGATGGACTTCGTTGATACCGCGCTGGAGACTGTCTCGCAGCCTGTCTAGACTCTCATTGAACCGGAGCAGTGCAGTATCGTCAGCAAATAAGGACACACCTTCAACATGACTGGGAAGATCATTAATATACACTACGAAAAGAAGAGGCCCTAGGATGGATCCCTGGGGCACTCCGGATAGAACAGGTGAAGCATCTGAGAGAAGTCCACCTACAAAGACAACTTGGGTTCTATCGGATAGGTAGTCTGTAATCCACTCCAGCGCTGAGTCACACACACCGTTAGTAGATAATCTCTGGGCCATCGAAAAAGGTATCTTATAACAAGACTTATCTTGTATCAGGACTTGCAGCTAAAGGTAAAATAGGCACTACTGTACTTCGTACTCACCGGGGCTACCCTCGATACAACATAAATTTCGACGCTTCAACTCGTTATAAGATAATTGAAAATCTCCAACATAACCCTTCCATAGACATAATACGTTTCCTCTTTCTGCTTTATCCTACGTGTTTTGGCCTTGGTCCTGCATGGTCAATATTATCTTACACTGAGGGTTTGGCACTCCAGGGACCTGGGCAAAGGGTCGTTATAACGGATTTTATGTACTAACGGATTATACCGGACCTGTAAACAGTTATATAGACCACGTTTCGCCAGGAGATTTCAGATTTCTATTTACTAACGGGGTTTATGTACTAACCGGACTCGTTGTAACGAGAGAGGACCTGTACTTCATTAACGTCTGGCGCTGGCCAGGGTCCACAAAGCTTTAATTCCCGTAGCTATGCAGAAGACGTTACTTCAGTAACGTCTGGCGCTAGCCAGGGTCCACAAAGCTTTAATTTGGTGTGTGTTTGTGTGTTTGTGTCACGCCTGGCGCTATCCCTTATCTGTCCCGTACCGTACCATCAAACACAGCTGGCCACATACAGCCGGCCGCAATATTCAAATAGGGCTTTCAAACGCAAGATCATAACGTGAAGCAACTTGGAAGAATGAGTATGAATGCGAAGTGTATGGGGGTATTCATGTACAAGTAGGGCGATAGTGCGTGTTCGAACCCCAGGTAATGCCTGAAAAAAAGGAGAATTGAAAAATTTATAACCTCCCTTTTCTTTTTTTGCCGTCATCAAGGCGGTAGACGGTATCGTATTAGCCTCGACCGTACCTGTCCCGTACCTGTCCCGTACCTGTCCCGTACCTGCCCGTACCTGTCCCGTACCTGTCCCGTACCGTACCGTACATTCAAAGACGGCTGGCCACAATGCATGTTCAAATAGGGCTTTCAAATACAAGTGTAATTTTTTTTCAACTGCATGCAGAAAACTGCCAAATATGACGTATAAAAAATCCGTAGCGCCTCTACGGATTTGCACGGGCAACAGAACATAATGAGACTCGTGAAAAAAGAAAAAGGCCCAACCCTGCCCTGCCAGTTATTTGGACTTACGGGGGTCGCCATGGCAAATAATAATGGAAAAACCAAGATCAATCGTGCACGCAACACAAGTAAAAGAAGAAGAAAAATGGAACAGAGAATCAGAAGTGGCATTCTGCTGCGGCCAGGACAGCGGGAATGTCAGCCAAAGCTCGGTTAGATTTCGGTTGAGCGGCGCGATGTCCACGGAGGCTAGCATTTGCCGAGCGGACAAGAGAGAAAGAGACCCTTGACCTGATCCAGGCCAGTACGGTGGAATAGGGCTCTTTTCTCTTGTCCGAAAGCATACAGGCAACTCTGTTGTAGAGCGCAGTGGCCGCTTTCCCGAATCCTCCAGATGCACTCAAGACGACCGGCACAAATGACGCGTGCTCAATTTCACGGATTCGCTCCTCATACGAGCGCCTCTTCTCAGCTTCGTGTTTTCGGTAAGTAGCTGGAAGTGACTGCTGGCAGTTGGACCGTGCATGGGGGTTGAAGACGCGGATGTCTAGGAACGTCTTCTCGAAACGCCCACCCCATATGCCGGATGCTGCCACGTCCAGGCGAGCGCCGTCGGCTGAGATCGCTGTGCGATGACGCAGGTCTCACCGGTGATCGGTTGCAGTGAAGGTTCGGTGCTCACGTCATGGGCCAATCCTTCAGGAGGGATGCTGTTAAATCACGGAGGTCGTTGTGACGCATGGAGGGGTAGCCGCCAATGGGGAAGGACAAAGCGTGTTCAGGTGTGAAAGAAGCCCCGCATGCACAGGTTGAGGGCAGTCCAGACGGGATCCAACCATAGCGCAAATGAAGCGAGTCGCGGAAAGCTTGTTTGTTGAGAACAAAACCATAGCGACGGAGCGGGCGGCAGGTAAGCCAACTAGAGGCTCCCTTCTCTGATGCCAGCTCCAGCACACGAAGCGTGGTGGGAGGGCAGCTATCCTTGATGGACTTGGCGTGGTCCATGCGTGCACGGCGGGCTTGTGATGAAGCATCTGCCTTCGCTTTTCTTGTCTCGTGCGGGATGCCGTCGAGGGATTCATCCTGACGCAGGATACGCTCTACGAGGGCGCGCGTGATAGCTTTGGAGTCACGATGCTGGACTGACAGGGAGGCCGGGATGAGGAGCCCCAAACCTCCGTCTCTGCAGGGTAGAGCTAGGATGGACCTTTCAAGATCACCTGGAGGAGGTCGGTGGGTGATGGCGGGAATGAGCTTCACGCGGATCGTGTCCTCCAGCGGAGCTAGCAAGTGCGCGGTGTCAGGCACGGTGCGGGCTATGAAGGCCCATTTGTGCCGCAGGCCCTGTCCAAATGCCGCAAATGCTACTTGGGGCTGGGTGACAGCATACTGGGCTAAGACTGCAACCTCTGCGCACCACTCCTGGACTTTCGATCGAACAAAACCCTCACAGTACTGTGGGGTGCCCAGAACTGCGCCCAGATGACGACAGCCGTCAACCCGGATGTCCACATTGGTGTCACCAAAGAGCTCGGCTGCTAGGTCAGCATGGTCTGGTTTTGTTAGAAGAATGGACTTCTTGGCGTTGATGAAGTAGCCGAAAGCTGGCCCCTCTTCCTCCAGGATAGACCACCACATGCGCAGCGTCCGCAGCTTGCCACCCGCTGTTGAGTCGTCTGCGAACCAGGCTTGAAGGGCACCGCTGGACTTGGCTCTTTGTATGAGGGGTACCGTTCCAAGTGCATACATGGCCATGGCGAGAGGATCGCCTTGGGTGGTACCTTCGCAAGACAGAAGTGTTTCGCCTCCAACGAAGAGCTTGGATGGGGAGCGGTAGGAGTTGATGACGGTAGTTGAGAACTCCGGGCAGAGGTGGCGGATGTTTGCGAGACATGCAGCACGGTTAATGCAATTGAAGGCATTTGAGGCATCGGCAAGTAGAACGGCTTCCGTGTCGTCATTTGCGAATGTGGTCTTGATGGCGTGAATTGCAGCTTCGATGCCACACTGTTGGCCGGCACAGAGTTGGAGAGAGCCGACTGCTTGTTCGATGGCTGGACCAACCACTGTCAAGATGGTTTTCCCTAGCACGCGGCGCACAACTTCCCCAACGCCAATAGGGCGCACACCTTGTTGTTTGTCTAGGGGAATGAGCCTGCAGGCATTGTAGGCCTCCAATGACGCTGGATCAACAGGGCACGATGCTAATCGGCGTGCACATAGTGCTAGGGCATCGCACAGGTCGTCAGAGGACGAGCCGAATGACGTGCAGATTTGTCGCCAGCCCACTGCATCCATACCAGAAGGCCCCGCTGCTCCAGTGGTGTTGAGTACTGCCTGCTTCACGACATCCCTGGTGATGGCGGAGAACATGATTGGATGGGGAGGTGGGGGTGGGACACCTGTGATTGCTGCACTATCTTGCAGGTCTTCTGCCGGCGGATGTTTGGCGGTCAGAATGTCCCTGACTGTTTGCCCGTTGATCTTGTCGTCAAGGGACAAGACACCCTTAGAGCTGGTATCGGACAGCATTCTGACTGCCGTGGTGGTTTTGCCCTCTGCTATCAAGTTGGCAAAGCGGCGGGCATCATCGGGGTGCTTGCTACCGGTGTGCTTGGCTTTGGCAGCGGATACTAGTTGCTGCTGGATGGTGCGCGCTTCCCTCACCAGCTGGTCGA